CGGGGCCTCTCACGCAAATGTTAAGGAAAAGCTCTTTCATATGGACAGAGGAAGCTGCCCAGGCATTCGAGACACTTAAGCAACGCTTATCCTCCACTCCGGTACTCCAATTGCCAAATTTTGAAAAAGAATTCATTGTAGAATGCGATGCTTCCGGTTCAGGTTTTGGAGCAGTCTTACAACAGGAAGGGCATCCTATCGCCTACTTTAGTCGAAAAATAGCTGATCGACACCTTAAGCTCGCAGCCTATGAAAGAGAGTTGATTGGCTTAGCCAAGGCGGTGACTCATTGGAGACCCTACTTGTGGGGATCTGAATTTTTAATTCGGACAGATCACTCCAGTTTGAAGTATTTACTCGATCAACGATTGACCACTTCCCCACAACAACATTGGTTGAGTAAATTGATGGGCTTCAATTTTCGGGTAGAATACAAGCCAGGCCGCCTAAACACTGTCGCAGATGCTCTATCCCGACAACATGAGGACGACATCCAGTTGGCAGCACTCAGTATTCCATACAACACCTTACTTACTGAAATACGGGCAGCACAAGCAACCTCTCCTATCATAGGAGATATCATTGGCGAAATTCGAAGTGGTCAACGTGGATCAGATTGGGAGATTCGAGATGGCCTAGTTTATTTCAGGTTTAAAATCTACCTGCTAGATACATTTGCAGTCGTTCCGACTCTGATCTCGATTTTTCATAATATGGCTCACGAGGGAGTGGAAAAGACTTTGCAACGGCTTCGGCGTGAGTTTTATTGGAGCGGCATGAAAACGGCAGTGACAACCTTTGTTCGTGACTGTCAAACGTGTCAAAAACACAAGTGGTTGACATTACAGCCAGCTGGGTTGCTTCAACCTCTTCCGATTCCACACCACATATGGGCCGATATTTCAATGGATTTTGTGGAGGGTTTACCAAAGGTTCGCGGCAAGTCTGTTATTCTAGTGGTTGTGGACAGACTCTCTAAAGCAGCACATTTCGTCCCATTGTCTCATCCTTATACTGCTGTCTCAGTCGCAGGAGTCTTCTTTGCTGAAATATTTCGCCTTCATGGACTGCCTGAATCCATTGTTTCTGACCGGGATAAAATATTTGTAAGCACATTTTGGCGCGAACTTTTCAGATTATCAGGAACCAAGCTGGCCTATTCATCCGCATATCACCCGCAGACAGATGGCCAAACGGAAGTGGTCAACCGTACCGTAGGGTTGTTCTTACGTTGTGTCACTAGCGATTATCCCAAGGAATGGGTCCGTTGGCTTCCATGGGTTGAGTATTGTTACAACACATCTTACCACTCTTCCTTAGGGGACACCCCTTTTCGTTTAGTGTATGGTCGGGATCCGCCTCGTATTCTCTCATATATGCCCGGCACAACTATGGTCGAGGGGGTTGATCGGGAGCTCATTGCCCGTGACCAACTTCTGAAAAGTGTCAAGGACCGACTAGCACAAGCCCAACAACGCATGAAGGACCAGTTTGATAAACATCACCGAGACTTATCCTTTGAACCCGGAGCATGGGTCTGGCTCCGTCTCCAGCCATATCGCCAGCTCTCCTTGGGCCAAAAAAATCACAAACTATTGCAGAAATTTTTTGGCCCCTTTCAAGTGCAGGAACGCATTGGCAACAGCGCATACAAGCTCATATTACCCTCTGAGGCTCGTATACACGATGTCTTCCATGTCTCCCTTTTGAAGCCACATAAAGGGCCTCCTCCAACGACAATGGGCACTCTTCCGCCAGTTCCTAACAGTCTTAGCACCTCAATTCCACTTGCAATCATTCGAAGTAGACTTACTCAAGGGGGATGGGAGCTCTTAGTTCACTGGCAAGGGCACCAACTGGATGAGGCAACCTGGGAGCCCTTGGGTTCATTTCAAACGAGATTTCCCAGTTTTGAGCTTGAGGACAAGCTCTTTGTCAACGGGGGGGGGGGGGGGGGGGGGTGATGTTACAGACCAATTCTATGGTCGGAAATATCAACGTAGAAATCGGATGATCAGGAAGGACGATTCTGGAATCCAAAGTGGCTGAGAAAGAAATCTGTGATCTGACAGTTTTAGGAAACTTCTTAATTAGCATTTATTTCCTTTTAGAATTAGGACTCTTGTAATAGCTATATAAGGGTCATTAGTATTATTCAATAAACAGCTTTGGAGAATTAATTTCTGGATCTCTGGAATACTTCCAAGATCAGATTAATTCCACTGAGCCTTTCTTTTAATTCTTCCAGTTAATACATTCATCATAGATTCCAAATTTCAGAATTTTCGAAGTTCTCGTTCCCTGCCAGTCTCTCGTTCTCGTCCTTGGACGAGATCTTGTACGTCTGCCCTTAACAATAACATAGGCAGAAGAAAGATTAATGTACTGTTCGTGAAGCTTGTAAGAATACAGGACTAGAAAGTTGGATTGTTGGCATCCTGATGGTGGGGTTGGCTTAGCTATTTTCTTAAAAACAATCCTTTCTTTATTTTCTCTTCGTTCTGGTAACAGATAAGCTGGGAAATAAGAATCTTCATCATTGTCACGCAGACCACCTATCATGGTTGAATAATTGAAAATTAGGATTTCCATGTGCTGGCTATTGTGCGCTCTAATCTCGAAATAGAAGAAAGCAGCGTTGGGGAAGGCCTACTGAATATGCTTTGTTTCTCTACCTTTACTCCCATTCAACGCTAAGCCCAATCAAAACTGAAAGTTCAAATGCTGTACTAACGACAGACTGCAAAGTCATGAAAGTGGTTACCTATAGATGTAATAATCTGTGGGATTCTTCAAACAGCTGCCTATGCTGATGCTAAGGTGTATGGGTTTTTGAAGTAAACAATGCAGATGCTGGAGTTTTCTGTCATAGTCCACAATCCTGATGGTCATGGTGGGGAGTTCTAAATAAAAAAAATGAAAACGTTTTTGGTTGGTTTAGTTGTGCTCCTGTGCTGTTAGCCTGTTACCTCAATGTCTATGCTTGAAATCAGTGGTCAGTGTAAGACACATGTTCATTTTTAACGTCTAAGAGATTGAAATCTTATTGTTAACATTTTATATATCAAAGAACCACGTTGATATATAGCAAGGAGGCATGCATTACTGCATGCTTAATACATGAAATTCTGTAGCATTACACACAGAGGTAAACGATGAGTATAACTTAAATATATTAGTGGTAAAAGTTTCACCTCTAATTATCACTAATTTCTTGGTCCTAGTATTATTACTTTCATTTCATTTACAGAAGACGGAGTATAAGTAATGCCATTACTGGCTACCTGTCTATAATTGCATTATATTGTATATACCTTAACACTTTGTTTTCTGTTTTGGGTTGGTTGTAGTATTAAATGATATTATATGGCCATGCTCAATGTGGTCATGTTTGATTTTAAAAAAGAGATTACTCTTAGGGATTTTCGTGAATGAAATCAAGTACGGTTTGATGTCTCAGGACTCATGGAAAGTGTTTTGTTTATAGCTTGGGACAATAGAATGCCAAATTACATCCTTTATTGGTGCCTATCTTTGAATACTGGCCACTGCCAGGAGGTGAAGATTTCAGATGTCAGCTAACTTTAATGCATCTTTCATCAAGGATAGATAGCATTATGTATAATATCATCATCAGCATCCTCATCATGGGTGCAGACATTTCATTTGCCATATGTAATATTCAAATTTTAATTATATTAGGTTACAATGTTATCAACAAGTAGGGCAGTCAGCATGTGCAGTATCTGTACCCTATGTGTTGCATCTCGCCTATATTATTTGTTACTTGGCTACTGGAGAGTGTAGATGTATGTATGCAAGAAGGAAAGTGTCATTTATAAATTGAAAATGACATGTTTTACTGTTCACTAGCAAATTGTATTTAGAGTTCAACCAAAACACCAAACAAGACGAAGACATGCCATTATCCTGACTATCCATTTTTTTTGTCACAGATTAGGTTAGTACAAAGTAGTAAGTTTCAAGGTCTAAGTTTCAACAAGTATGTTTTGAACCCTTTCTCTGACATGACAAAATATTTAAGATCCAGATTATTATTTTGGGCAATTTTTGTAAATGGAAAAAATAAAGTGAATGGATCTTGCAAAGAGAGTATTTAGTTGCTCAGTAGCTGTTTGCCCTGAATTGTATTCTGGTCCTTCATTAGATAATGAAAAACATGATGTTTCTTATTTTTTTTATAAGAAACACTTTAAATAGAAGCACATATAGCAAGATATGCACTCTCAAATGATAGTTCACCTTCTCAGTCTCATGGTGTTCCTTATTTTTTGAAATTGAAGCGTTCATGTAGCTTTCTTTATATAACTCTGTTTAATTTCTGAATGGGTTGTCTCTTTTACTTTAAAAAAATGTTGCAATTCATGAGACTGAGAAGGTGCTTCAATTTAAGGGATATAAGTAATCCTTGCTATTTTGGGTTCCAGCTTTGGTGCATTTACTTGGTTGGGCAATCTCAAGTTTTGCATGTTTTTTGTCTCGTATTGTTGTTTTTTTTGGATGAAATTGTCTCGTATTGTTGTTTTTGTTTTTATTGATGGTGGTTCAAGTGTTGGCTACTTAGATGTTCAGAAATATTACACATTGCCTTGGGTTGTTTTTTAACTATCTTTTGCATGATGGCTAATACTGTTAGCATTAACATAAAGGTAAATCACCTGGCACACATGCTTAAAATGTTAGCTAAACTTTTTTGTCCTTCCATGATGGAAGTCAATGAAGTACTCCCTCCGTCCGGGAAAGAAGTTTCCCATTTGACTTTCACACACTTTTCTGCAAGTAAACTTACTAGGGGGTAAATTTTACTGTTTCGACACTGTTTGGCACTGGTTTGATGTGGATAACTTTCCATTTAAGGAAATGAGAACTTAAATTAGGGACATCCAAATAAGGAAAGTGGGAACTTCTTTCGGTGACGGAGGGAGTAATTTTTAATGAGTTGTGTTTTCTCATGCATTGGGCTATTTTTCTCCATGCAGATGAGAAGGGATGTGATGGCTGAAATTTTGGTGACTGCATACATAATTGTGCACTGTACAACACTTTGTCTTAACCGCTCGACGCTTAAATACACTTAACGTAATTATTATTCTGACTATGCAGGTATTACTGATGCCTTCAAGAAACATGTCTCGTGATTCTCTAGAAAAGGGGACCTTTTGAACTAGTCTCGTATATATATATGGGTATATAGATATGTAGATGGTAGGATTTGCTTAAGGTTATGTACATAAATTGTATGCAACTACTCTGTCATAAGCAGGATAAAACTTTTAATGTCCTCCCTTTTACCGTGTCTGCATGATGCTCTGGCTGGTCTACTCTTTCGATTTGGATCCTGATAGCTGATCCAATCCATACATGGGCCTTTCCAACTCCTTTTTATAAGATCCCCTTTTCAATTTTCACAGTTTTTGGGGAAATCCGAAATCAACTCATCCACCCTTATAGAAACAGAATACAGTTTATACTTCGGATTTCTATGGACCAGCCCGTCACCTTTTTAAGTTTTTCCCATTTTCTTCTACTCGTGTCCCCCAATTAGCAGTGGGGGGGGGGGGGGTATGAATTCTATTTTGTCTACTCAATAATACCTTGTCAGATTGATAGCTATATGTTACTATTTCCATTTCAGAACAGTTCATCGCTTTTGATGTTCATAGTCCCTTTAAATCACTACACAAAGGAAGAGGCTAACACAATCCAAAGCAAGAATACTGTCACGCCCATTAGGAAAAACCGAAAAAGTGCACAATCTATAAACCATTAAAGTTTTTCATGACTCTAGATTGTTAACCTAATGGCTGTAGTTCCAACTTCCAAGGCAAATTGCTTATTGTATTATGTGAGCTTTGAACTAATATTTGATACTCCCTCTTCAACTTGTTACATACATTTAATTACAAAGTCATCTCACCATGTAATTTTCATATAATACACATACACAATAAATGGGAAATTAATGTTTTTCTTTCTTTCAAAATTCATTCACATACTTAAATGGAACAAAAAAGCTAAAAGAGAGTGACTAACACATCAAAAGTGTGCACCCAACAAACGTGTGCGTATTACACCTTCCATCATTGACTATACAACAAGAATGATGATAAATATGTGTTATTTGTGTATCTTACTGGACATATACTTGTTATAACTGTGGTAGGGAATGGATGAACGAGGGATTAGACTATTACAAGGCTACAAATATGTACCATTTTGAAGTGGGCCGTCCAGGATGGAGACATTTAGTGGGTTGAAATTCATTCAAAGGAAACTGCCGACTGATGGGCTTTTGTACAAGTAGTTCTTGCTCCTTTGCGGCGGAGGCTGCCCGCAAACGCACTCGCATTCGTACCCGAATATGTTCCCGAAACAGGAAAACCTGCCGTCAGCTGCGCCGTTTTCACTGTGCCGCCGCATGTGGTAGCTGCTCGACTGGAAGCTGCTGCTGGCGTACCCTCGATCGTACAACGGCGGCAGCTCTGCCCGCCACCGCTCCAACTTCGACCGCAGTCCTTCCACGCTCTCGTCAGCGCTCCACCCGTCCAACACCGAGCTCCCCTCCGGCTCCAACGGGTACCTCCGCTCGGCCATCGCCGCCGCCACCTCTGACGGTGATGGCCCAACTTCTGAGTCCGACAGCATCGAGTTTCCCTTCCACGGCCCTCCAATGAAACCATACTTACCCGTTGGGCCGTTGGATGTCTTAATGGGCTTCGAAATTGGCATCGGTGGAGACTCGCCGAGTTTACTATTAACTCCTGGCCCGTTGGGCTTGTCGTTGGCAGTCTTCTCACTTGGCCCAATGTCATTGTTGCTATTATTATTATTCGCAGGGGACTCTTCATCTTTCAATTTAGCCAATAGATGTGATTCTCTGCTCATAATAGAATCGCTTAAAACGGAACTCGCCTTCCTACGTTTTGGCTTCGTCTTGTCTTCCCTGAGCTCCGCGCCGCTGATCACGGAACTAGCCTTCCCTATCTTCTTGTTACTTGACGCCTTGATCGATGGCGGTGGAGGAAGCGGCGGTGGCGGCACGAAAGAGATGCTGAGTATGGAGCTTTCCTTCTCTGTGAAGGCCTGCTTGTTCTTTTTGGAAGGGATTGCGACTAAGGAGCTGTTGTTGACGGAGATGTCATCGTAAGACACGAGGGTGCTGCGCTCGCTTTTCATGCGCCGCAGCACCGGGTGGGTGGTGGCGGGGTTGTTGTGCAGCGGAAGATGGTCGTCCGTCAGGAGATCTCGGAATCCGACGGCTGACATGCTCATTTGTCTGTACAATGGCATGCTCCTCATTGAGCTATCCAGTAATGCCACACCAATGTTTAATATCCCTTGGGGACGTCCAGACGGACGCCGAACCTGCAGACATCCAGCAATTATTGTTATACACAAAGATAATAAAAATACATTAAGCCCTAATGTACAAGTACCATTAAATTATACTAGTATCTAACTATTTGTGTAAATCGTGTTACATTTTTATATAAATGTTATTATCTAAAGATGTAAATATGCATGCATGAATAATCTGTAAGAGATACTAGTAGATGTGAGGTATTTGACATTGGGAATGTTTTAGAAGCATGTAATTAACGTGACAATGCAAATGTTTTAACTAAAATATACAGAGTAAGTAATAAAATACATTAACTTTCTAGAATTAAGAATTAAGAACTAACAATTTTTTAAAAACTAACAAAATATCATTTCTGATGATTAATAAATAAAATGGCATATTTTAAAAAGTTTAGTTTGGTTCATTTCGGTTTAATGAGTTACCTTGTGGTTTTATTGCAACTCAATTTATTTTGCTTGTTGTTGAGTTTGTCAATTCGATTTTCGGTTTTCGATATCATCCGCCCATTGCTAGTCAAATAAAAAGTCTCTAGACGTTTTGTCAACTACTAGAAAATACTCCGTACGTAGTTGACCAAATTTAACAAATTTCTTTATGAAATTATGATTATGAATAAATGCAACATTTCGTTGGTGTGGTTTCTCCGAAGTTAGATACTAAAATGCAACATTAATGAGTCGAAAGTATGTGCATGTGAAGCAGGTTTGACTGTTTGAAATTGATTGTATTTGCAATCTTAACTCAACTTGTTTATGATTCATCTTTGCTCTGATTAACTCATTTCTAAAAAAGGAATAATTCATTACTCATTTACTCTGTATAAAGTAGTTGGTAGAAAGGCTTAACTTTAGCCCCTTATAGAAATATAATCGAGCTGAATTGAATGTTGTAAATTGTGTTATCATAATTTAACATCTTTAATTGCGTTACGCGTCATACACAAGTTTTCAGATTTCCATTTCCAACATCAAATAATCTACATGCATATGATCTTAATGAAATTCGGATCTTATCATTATAAAACCTTTTATTATGTCAAAAGTGAGGTATTATATTTTTAGATTGTAACTTACATATTGTTACTGTGTAATATTTGCTAATTCATTATGACTAAAGTGATGCATAATATTGGAATAAGATTAATTAATTTCTTTTAGGGACTAATGTGGCAATTAAAACACTTACACCCGCTTTTTTAAGAGAGGTTTGATTTTGAAGCGGGAAGGAGGACAGAGACGCACCTGAAGGGCAACGAAACGCATGCCAAAATTTTGACGGTGACCTCGAGCCGGCGGAGGAGGGAAGAGGTTACCGACGAGGAAACGAACGGTGCCGACGAGAGAGTCGCGGAACCACCGGACGGAGAAAATCTCAATTTGGACGGCAGAGGTGTCCCGCTGGAGGAACTCGTCGTCCACGCGAAACACGAATTTGTCGTTCCACGTCGGGTTGTTGCACCCGTCGTAGTCCACGGCGGTGGTGAGACGGCGCGTCGGGTTGAGGCACACGGTGGCGTACGTTCGCATCTTCTTCGACGCCTGTTCCAAATCCTGGGCGGAGATTATGTTAATTTCGAGGAGTTGAAACGGTTTCATCATCGCCATTTTTGAAGTTTTGGTTTGTTTTTTCCTTGTAATCCTTCAATTCAATCCCAACCTGCGACCTTCATGTGCAGAAACCGTGGTGGCGGGCGGTGGATGGAGGAGGAGGAGATTACGGAATCGCCGTCCTCCGAGAATGGGACGACGGCGGAAGGTTGCATCAATGAAATAGGGATAGAAATACAAGGAAGTTGGTGAATCTGAGAGGAAGGAAATGGATATGATGGCCTGGATCTACCCTCTCGAGAGGATAGGCCGGCCACCGCACAGAAGGGGAGCTTTTGACCATTTATTTAATTGATTTATAGTGCGGAGTAAATGTTTGTGAAAATTTGGTTTTGAAGGCTGTGATCCGTTTGGAGTTTGCTAAAATGAGGGGCTCCATTTTAGACTAGAGGCCAAGTGTGTAATTGTTATGGTTACAAATATGGTAGGAATTAAGATACTATGAGCCGGTTTGGTAATATGAAAATCGGCTCATTCGGTTGATTCTACTGAAATTTATGAATTTCTTGTTGAAGTGGCCGCACTGGATGATTCTTCTGATTTAAGAAAAAATTATTTTTAAAATATATTTTATTAATAAAATAAAGAAAAAAGTTCATGTAAGAATAGTTAAAATGGTCATCTACAGTAACTTCAGTCAATACAACCTGAAAAGTAACTCGAACCTTAACTTTTCTTATTATTACACAATTCAGCGCGCAAAAACAAACATTACGTGTTTGGTGAAAATGTTGGCTGACGAGTCTGATAAGCCGAAAAACGGTGTTACCAAACGGCCTCCATCTCTGTCCCGTTTACTGGTTCCCAGTGTAAAGTGATACAATTATTTAGAAAATAATTAAATAAAATAATTCAAGTATATTTTGAGAAAATAATTTTGAAGAACATATACAATATAATGCATGATGATTGTGATGTTAAGGATGCATTAATTTTAATATTTCATAATTAAATTGTCATTTAAGAATATCATTTCCTTAATAAAAATGAAAACTTTTATACAGGATGTCCAAAAAAGAAAGTGGAAACCTTAGAATGAGACGGAAGGAGTATGTGTTACATTTTTTTGTTCTTTTTATAAGAGAGGCTTTTGTTTTTTATTATTCAAAATGCATGAATATTTTATTAATTAAACTTTTGACCTTTATTTACAAGTTTACACCTTGTTCTAGTTATAAATTTTAAATTTAGTTTTGCAGTGGCAGTAGTGTTATAGAATTTCTTGAAATTTTAAGTAAGATGATTAGTTGTAGTGTTCAAATGTAACTCAGCCGCAAGTTTTACATTTTAGATGCATCCAATGAATAAAATGTTGTCAAAAGTTTGGAGAATAATCTAAAATTTTGCTTGAAGTAAGAGTAAAACATGAATAAAGTATGACAATGAGTCATATTTTATGAATAAATCACACTCATATACTCCGTAAGAGTTAAGCTACTATGTTGTGCTCGCAATTGCTATGGTGTTCAACACTTCAACTCCATGGTCTTATACCACAAACAGTTACCATTATGAGACATTGTGAGTACCATTGTTGCGAAGCATTATGCTTTTCTAGGACGTGCAAACTATCAATGTAATGAAACACACTATAACAGGAACACTCATTATAGAATATGAATTGAGACCCTATGAAAAGCCAAAACTCAAATGTGCAATACGGGTTGCTGAATTCACGTGGCAATGTTTATTTGCTCTTCCTATGAACCCAAGTGCATACATTTGACGATTGACATTAAACTGTTTAGGAAAAATCCACAAGAAGTGTTAGTTGCCTCAAATCTATGAGATGACAAATACCCGTAGCTCCCCCCTATCACCCCTTGTAACACGCATATCAGAATCGATATATACAACATCAAAATCGCCGTTCCTTCGACTTGATGGTGGCCTGATCACATCTGGTACTTGGGGCACCTCCAATGGTGGTAGTTGTGATAAGTTTCCTGATGTCTTTACTGTAGTCTTCTCATATAAAATCTTGATCCTGGATGTTCCTGGTGACACGCACAAAACATGCTAGTTCAAGAACACTTATGACCTTAAATGTTCTACCCTAAGGTCATCATCTTATACGTGGACAATATTATGCCTCCACCATAAGAATAAACCAATATCAAAGTTCATGAGTCTTTTTTCAGTCTAAGTTGGATCGAGTTGCTCGTTGGAGCTTATGAGCTCTAAGACTGCATGAGCTATCCTAAAAAGTTGATTTAGTAGGAGGAATAGTTCATATATGGCAACAGAGTTATGCCTCTCTAAGATACGGAGTAATAGTTTGTTGGAACATACCAATCTTAAAATCCATGTATTCTTTATTAGTTGAAGTGGAGCGAGTTGCTATTTGAACTTTATGGGCTTCTATACTATCTTGAGTTAAAATGGTCAATCTTTAAAAGTTAACCTAATAAGAGGGGTAGGTTAAATTCAGGAGTTTATATACTTAAATATTTGAGCAGGACTGACCTATAATTTCAAATTTGTGAGCCAAAGTTGCTGTCACTTCAATAGGTGGGAAAGGCCAAGGCGCGCCTAACTCAAGATCGACTATGTTATCAAAATCCCTGCTAAACACGTCAATTCTTTGAAACACCTGTTTAGCAAAGATTTTATAATGCAAATGTAAGATCCTTTCTGATCATAACATGCAAAAAGTGAACCATTCCTGATGAATGACAGATATATTTTTTATTGGAATGATATTATTTTAGGATACCTGACCAAGAGTTATCGGAAGTAGCCTTCCTAAAGGGGGACCAGGGCGACTTCCACCCAGAGTACGAGATGAGAAAGCACTGCTATAAATTAGTTTCCATCTTCCTTGCAGTATATCAGCATCACCTTGGAGGTCTACAGGCCCTCCAGCCTCTTCAAGTGCCTTGGCAGCATCATCTGCCTTCCTTAGATCATCATCACTTGCTGCTAGTCCTCTATTTAACCCTGAAACACTACTCTGCAAGTAATTATTGCATATGAGTCAAAGGATCACTATACTTATGAAATTTTGAATAAAGAAGTAAATATACCCCCACAAGGCCACAAGCATAACTTTAACTTTTAGCTGTAGTCTCAAATAAAGCTTTTATGATATGAACTTTCATTGTGGACTCTCAAAGGGTTGGGAGGGAGATAAAACCACCAATAATTAGTTCCAATCAAGTTTGAACTTTCACATTGTCGCTAAGTCCCCCACAGCTACTTGACGTGAAAGCGGTGAGACTAGACATTGATTAAACGGTCTGCTGAACTAAGTTTGGGGTAGAAGATCGTCAATGGGAAAAATATTATGAAATGAACTCTCATTTTGAACTCCCAAAGGTTTGGGGAGGGGGAGTAAAACAGCCACTAATTAGTTCCAATCAAGTTTGAACTTTCACATTGTCGCTAAGTCCCCCACAGTCACTCCACGTGAGACTACATTTATTTAACGGTCCGCTGCACTAAATTTGGGGGTAGAAGATCATGAATTGGGAAATATTCATACTGTGTTTTTGCAAACTATTCGTTTTTTCGGGGAGCTAAGCCCCAAAAATTCTGCGAATTAATAGAAACTAAGCAGATAGAATTAGAAAGTGAATCATCATAGATGAGAAAGAGTCATTACAGAGTATTTATACAATATAGAAGTCAAGCAACTAACTACCGGATCTAACAGAATCCCTTAACAAACAGTACATGAGTATTTATTACAGCTAACATTCCCCCCTCAAACTGAAGATGATTGTTTTGGAAAATCAATCACATTCAGTTTGTTTCTAAAGCCAAGAAAAGTGGAAGCAGATAGAGGCTTGGTCAGCACATCTGCAATTTGTTGGGAGGCTGGAATATGCAAGACTTCAAGTTGCTTGAGTGTGACTTTCTCTCGCACAAAAAACAGATCAAGTTCCATATGCTTGATTCTGGAATGGAGTATAGGATTATGTGCAAGTTGGACTGTGCTGAGATTGTCACAGTAGATTCTGGGGAGTGGAGAATGAAGCATGAAGTTCTTGGAGTAAGAATTGAATCCACAAAACTTCTGAAGTAGTATCTGCCAGACTTCTATATTCAGCTTCTGCTGATGATCTTGCCACCCTTGGTTGTTTTCTAGACCACCAAGAAACAATATTTGGGCCTAAGAAGATACATGATCCAGAGGTAGACTTTCTATCAACAGGGTCTGATGCCCAATCAGCATCACAGAAGGCAAATATAGGAAGAGGAATCTGAGATAATGGAAGGGGCTTGATAATCAGTCCATGATTGATGGTGCCAGATAGATACCTCAGAATATGTTTCACAGCCTTCCAGTGCTCTTGCAGAGGATTAGCCATGAACTGGCAGACTTTGTTTACAGCATAGCTGAGTTCTGGTCTTGTAAGAGTGGCATATTGCAAAGTGCCAACCACAGATCTGTATTGAGAAGGATCAGGGAGGTAATCAGACCCTTCAATGGTAAGTTTGCAATTACTTATCATGGGTGTTTTGACACCTTTGGAATCTGTCATCCCAACCTTGTGAAGAAGATCTCTGACGTATTTTGATTGAGATAGATGAAGACAGCCATCAGAAAGTTTTCTAACTTCAATTCCCAGAAAGAAATCTATATCTCCCAGATGTTTGAGAGAAAAAGAAGAATTGAGGTGCTGAATGATCTGGCTAATCACATTAGAACTGTTTCCTATGACAAGAATGTCATCCACATAGATTAAAATATAGATTTGTATTCCAGAAGTGAGATAGATGAGTAAGGAGGGATCACGTTTGCTTTGTTTGAAACCAGCATTATACAAAGCTGAAGTAAGTTTTTGAAACCAGGCCCTTGGAGCTTGTTTGAGGCCATATAATGATTTATGTAGCCTGCAAACAAGAGAGGTGTCCTGAGCTTGAAAACCTGGAGGTTGTGTCATGTACACTTCTTCCTCAAGTTCCCCATTGAGGAATGCATTGTTAACATCTAATTGTTGTATAGACCAATGGTGAGAAACAGCAAGAGTGAGAAGGATCCTGATAGTAACAGGTTTGACTACTGGAGAAAATGTTTCTCCAAAGTCAAACCCAAACTTTTGATGAAAGCCTCTGGCAACCAACCTGGCTTTAAACTTATTGATAGACCCATCTGAATTTTCCTTGATTCTGAATACCCATTTACAACCAATTTCCTGTTTTCCTGGAGGAAGAGGCACAAGAGTCCAAGTTTTGTTTGCAAGTAGTGCATTATATTCAGTCTGCATTGCTGCATACCAAGGAGGAGAAGAGAGAGCCTGCCTTACTGATTTGGGCTCAATATGGGTTAACAGCAAGGTGGGATTAAGTCTAGGTTTAACAATCCCATATTTGGATCTGGTTTGTATAGGATGAGTGTTAGTTACTTGAATGGGAGTTGTAGAAGATGAAGAAGAAACAGGTTGTTGAGAAGAAGAGTTTGAAAGGTGGAGTTGAGAGTTGTCAGGAGGTGATTGATTTGGAGATAAACTAGGTGTAGAAGACAAAGAATTATGATGAGAATTGGAAGCATTGGGAGAGGAGTTAGGTTGTGAATGATTGGATGAATCAGAAGATGAGTTTTGTTGAGAATGGTAGTGAGCAGATGAGGAATTGGGCTGAGAGACATTATTGTTGTTGTTATCAGGAGAGGGAGCAGGGCCAGAGTTTGGAAGATTTGGACTGACTCTATTGTTGGGTTGGGTAGGAAAGGAAAGGGTTATGGGGTGATTTGATGGAACTTGGACAGTAGAAGAAGTGGTTGATTTGGTGGGAAAAAGGGTTGTATAAGGGAATGTGGTCTCATTGAAGACAACATCCCTGGATATATAGATTTTACCACAGGGAGATAGACACTTATAACCCTTATGATGGGAGGAGTATCCTAGAAATACACACTCCTTGGAGTGGTAATCAAATTTATGATTGTTATAAGGTCTTATGAAAGGATAGCAGGAGCATCCAAAGACTTTCAGGAATGAGTAATCTGGAAGGATCTTATACAGTTTGAAATAGGGGCTTAAATTGTCAATGGATTTTGAAGGAAGTCTATTTATGAGGTGTACAGCTGTGGCAAAGGCAGTGTCCCAGAATTTTAGAGGTAAGGATGAGTGTGCTAACAAACATAGACCTTTTTCAACTATAGTGCGATGTTTCCTCTCAACAACACCATTTTGATGGTGTGTGTGAGGACAGATAACTCTATGAGTGATACCTTTTTGGGTGAGAAATTGTGTAAATGATCTGAATTCACCTCCCCAGTCAGACTGGAGAGATTTAATTGAAACATTGAACTGATTTAACACATATTGGTAGAAGTTTTGAAAGGCAGAGAATGCATCAGATTTCTTTTTGAGAAAGTAGATCCATGTGAATCTAGTAAAGGCATCAATAAAAGATACATAGTAAGAGTATCCATCAAAAGACTGTACAGGAGCTGGGCCCCACAGATCAGTGAAAATTAATTCAAAGGGAGAGTGATAGACAGTATTAGATGGATAGGAGGGAAGCCTGTGAGCTTTCCCTAGACAGCATGCAGAACAAAAATCAACAACAGTTTTATTTATTGGGAAAACATTACACAGATGCATTACAGATTTGAGAACCTCTAAGTGAGGATGTCCAAGTCTTAAATGCCAGATATTACAAGAATCATGTGATTGAGTTTTATTACAAGTAGAAATCAGAGAACTAGGAGAAACAGAATTATCAATGGACTTGTGAGACCCAATAGCTGAAAAAGATTGAAATTTGTATAGGCCATCTGCACCAAGGATGCCATAGAGAAGAATCTGTTTAGAAACCTGAGATTTAACAAAGCACTCATGAGGATGAAATTCAAAAAATGCATTGTTATCTTTGGCAAATTTACTAACACTTATAAGGTTTTTGGTTATTTCAGGGACATGCAAGATATTTTTAAGAGACAGGGAGAGAGAAGATTGATAAGGAGAAGGGAAGGATGAAAAACCAACAGACTTAATCTCCAGACCTTGGCCATTACCCATAAAAAGCTTGTCAGTAGTGGCAATTGGCTCACTATGCTGAAGGTTAAGTGGATCTGAAGTTACATGATGTGTAGCTCCTGAGTCTGGGAACCAGTTCTGAGAGTTAGGTGCTGGCCCAAGCACAGAGGAATTTGCACAAGCCCATGCTGCAGTTGGAGCATTACTCAGACTGGAATTGGGAGTGAGATTTGGGGTAGATGAGGATGATGGTACCCAGTTGAAGTTTGATGGAGTTGAAGGATTGCTTGAGTATCTTGATGTAGCAGGATTATTGAAGGGATTTGAGTGGTTCTGAGGTGTGTATTGGTGAGGTATGGGCATATAGTTAAGTTGAGGATGATGATATTGGTTTGAATATGGATTGTACTGATGTTGATTAGGAATCGAAGGGTACCATTGGGTGAAAGAAATAGGATTTGAAGGAATAGGATTTGATGTTCAATAAGGGTTTGCAGGTGTAGGGTTTTGTGCAGTGTAGGCTGGATTGAATCTATGATAGCATATTAGTGCGTGATGACCATTTTTGCCACAGACCTGACAGGTGATTGGATTCCGGCCACCAGAACGACCACCTCCTCTATCTCTGGTGAAGTTTCCTCGACCTCTTCCTCTGTAAGAGGATGAACCTCCTGAGTCATCAAACTGAGATACTTGAACAGAAGCATTTTTTGAAGAATTATGAGTTTCATTACCACTATTTTGACTAGATTCCTCAAGTCTAGCAACATTAGCAGAAAACAATGCTTGTTGAGATGAGTCACGCAGTTTCTTTAAACGCAATTCTTTTGCCAGCAAAAGAGCTTCAAGATCTGATACAGAAATTGGATCCAAGATGCTTCTAGAAGATACAGAAGAAACAAGGGACTCGTACTCTTCTGGAAGTCCTTCAAGGATAACGTCGATGTGATCTTTGGTAGTAACAGACTCACCGACACGAATTAGGTTATCAATTATGGTTTGGATTCGAAGAAGATAATCGGAAATAGATCGATCACCTTTTCCGGTGTTGTAGAGCTCGGATTTCAATTGGCGAGTTCTGGCAATAACATTTGATCGAAAGAAATCCTGAATTTCATTCCATAATTGGTGCGACTGCTTACAGTGTATAACACGAGCATGAAGGGAGTCAGAAAGTGACGCTAGGAGCCAGGAGAAGAGCATCTGATCTTGCTGTTCCCAGACATTGTAAGCTTCGTTGACGATTCTCTCTCCATTATCACCAACAGCAAATCGATCTGGAATTTGAGGTTTCTCAATGAATTTGAGAAGTTTATGTGCCTTGATTACAGATTGAACATGATGCCTCCAAAGTAGAAAATTATTCGACTCAAGCTTGATTGGTAGAGGATGATTGAAGATAACTAGAAAAGATTGTGATGAGGAAGATTGCGAGGATGAAGAATGCGATGATGATTCTGTAGAGTTGGTCATGTTTGCGAGGATGATGATCGCGAGGATGAATATTGGAACGAGCAGAGCTCTGATACCATAATAGAAACTAAGCAGATAGAATTAGAAAGTGAATCATCATAGATGAGAAAGAGTCATTACAGAGTATTTATACAATATAGAAGTCAAGCAACTAACTACCGGATCTAACAGAATCCCTTAACAAACAGTACATGAGTATTTATTACAGCTAACACGAATATTTATTTTATTTATTTACAGAATATTCATTGATACAAATATGTTGCATCATCTTCTAGACAAAACAATTGTCCTGTGAGCATTACTTTCTTAATAACCTACTTATGGGTTAGTCTATGTGGATAGGCTCTAGAAATCATGTGGTGACCAAGTTTTCTGAACAACACTCTATAATATGAAAACTAGTGTATTGCCACCCTTGTGATGCATGGGGATATTTCCATTGTAAATGGTAATGCGTTTTTACATTTGACAATAGTGAATAGTTTAATTTATACAAAGTAATAACAAACTATGCCTTGCTATGTGATAAAAGAATTACATAGTATTATTTTTGTTAAATATTAAAATGTACTGCGTAGTAATAGTACATATATAGAAAATGTAAGCCTTACACAGAGAGTTTTGCACAAAAAGAAGGGCAAAAGTAAGATACATCACTATTAAAAAGTTCATATAATTAAAAGCCTAATTACAGGATTTGAAGTACTTCATTGTAGACGGCATTCATGGTCTGATCAGCGAATTCCCTTCCCGGTTGGAAGAATACTCATTGATATATACAAATCCATAGTGTCATCTTCTAGAGAAAACAGTTCTCCTATGAGCATAACTTTCTTAATTACCTAGAAAACCTGCTGTGAGCATTTTTCGGAACAACTTTTCAATGATACGACAATTACAAAACATTACTTTGTATACTTTATTGAACTCAACACAGTCAAATATCATTTTAGGCTAAGGGATTTCATTTTACTGACAGAAACTAATTTCATCTTCCTAGCATACTTGGATAACGCAAGAAAGTTTTATAAGCTGAACACTTTGAATTTACCTAATTACATATAAAACCTGATCCAAAGTCATTCATGGGGAGTAATTCCAATCAAAATAAAGAATTATTTCAAGAGATTGACTTATCATTTGTCAAGGTAAAAAACTATGCATGTTAATAATAAATCAAGCTGAAGTTATATTTACCAATAACTTGAGCTTCAAAGACCTTATATGGTCAGCTCTTGATTCTTTATTTCCGGGAAGATCAACGATCGTGATTTCATTTATACCGCCGTGACTGCAGACGAAATTTCTCTTTATAGGGTGTCGTTTCTTATGAAAAACGTTGGAGGAAAATCGTGCAGAATGGTGTGGGATGGTGGGGAAAGGAGCTAAGATACGACTATCTGAAAGAGAAAGGGAAGAGTGAAGCGCAGAGGCCATTGATGAGTATTGAGCTTTCGGATTATATGCGTATAAGGTGTGGGAATGGAGTTTGTTGGATTTTTGCGGGCTTCAAGGATGTGTTTGGAAATTTTGTGGAGAAGTTTTGTAGATCGACCTACAATGTTTGGATTGAGGGTTAATGATTATTAGTAATGGAAGTGTTGGTACTAATACTTGTTTGCGATAAAAATTAAGAGGTGCTAAGAAGTACTCCGTATTAGTAACGGTTAGGAAGTGTAAACAATAACCATCACTAGGGGTGGACTCGGGCCGGTTCGGGCCCGGTTCGGACCTGGGCCCGGCTGGGCCTCGGTTCATGAAAGGGGAGGCCCGGAATCGGCCCGGGTAACCCCCGGGTCCGGGTCGGGCCGGGCCTCGGTTCAATTTATATTTTTTTTGGCTTTTCCTAATTAACCCTCCCCCTCACCCCCAAACCACCTCAAATGGCCCAAAATACCCAGTCCATCCCAAAAACTTAAAAAAAAATCAAAAAATAAATAAATAAATAAATAAATTGGCCCGAACCGGCCGGGCCAGTTCACCTTTAGAGGGGCCCGAGCCCGGCCCGGAACCCCAGCGGGTCGGGCTTACCCAGACCGGTCCCTGGCCGGGCCGGCGGTTCGGGCCGGTTCAAACTGTAACCGGTTCGGGCCGGTTCCGGGGCGTGCCGCCCGGCCCGAGTCCACCCCTAACCATCCCAACACCTCAATTGTTCACTCTTTTAACACTCCGATTTGGAGTGTTTTGAGGTGTTGGACAATTATTACCTTCTCATTTAACCTAAAAACATAAAATGCTTCAGCATCTCACTTCGAACATCTTTGCCGAGGGTCTAATGGTCTTCCTTTTTCGTCTCTTCTCCTTACTCGTTTGTTATACTCTAAGGTAAATTTATTAACACTTCATTCGTTTGACTCTCCCAAACAAGGTAAAATTATGTCTAACACTTACACTTCCATTCCCTTCCGGACCCTTACTAACACTTACCAACACTTCCATTACTAATATTTCCAAACACTCCATCCAAACAGGCCCTTAAGTGCAAAGTGTTTTATTACGGAGTATTATTTACGAGTAAAGAGTCACATTAGTCCTTGAAGTTGCATAAAATTGGTCAAATAAGTCCTTATATAGGAGACTCTGTCCGGCCGTCATCATTTTGATGAAATTTTTTGAGCATCTTATTTATTAACTCTAGGTTACTCATACCAATTTTCAGCTAAAACTTCAATCGAGAAGACATTCAAATGAAGTCTTGAAGATAACTGGGCATTTGAAAGCGCAGTTATCTTTAAATAAAAGGCATATATTTACTAATGTAGCACCGGGGCACGCAATTTATATTCTACACCCGGGAAAAAACGCATTTTTTTATATATATTCTACACCCGGTCATAAAGGAGGTCAAGTACCCATCCTCGTTGGAGAACATGGTCCTCGCGCAAAAAGCCCCTACCTTTAGAATGTGTGTGAATTACACGGACTTGAACAAGGCTTGTCCTATGGGCTCATTCCACCTTTTTCCTTTATTTATTTACTACCAACACAATAGTTTTCAACAAACTCCGTATTTGTTTTTAAAAGAAACTTAAGGATTACAAAAATACTTGCGACCAAAATTCTAAATTTTATTTTGTTAAATCACCCGTGTTGACAAGCACCACAAACACTGTCAATCAATTTTGTTACAAACTTACAATCTTGAATAAAATCGTTTGTGCACGACTCCCTTAAAACAATCCAGACAAACACACACAAAATTACCACTGAGTTTATTGCGGTAGTTAACACTTAACAGGCTTTTGTCAAAAAAAAATGTTGGGTGTACATGTTTTTTGTGTGACCCCTTAGAATTATCTATGTATAATTGACTTTGCGTAAAATATATAAGTACTAAAATACTATAGGTACTCAAATTTGTACATACCCTCTAGTTGCTTGTATACACAGAGTATTCAACTACGTATGTACACAAAAAAATGTTACAAGAATTAATATGTACACAAATTAAATAATACTACCTCTGTCCCACTAAGATTGAGACATGAAAAAGTGGCACGATTATTAACAAAAGTGAGTTTGTGTGGTTGATATTAAATTGATAAAGTAAGAATAAAGTAGGAATGATTTAGAGTCACACAAACTTTATCAAATTTGGTATGTGACAATCTTAGTGGGACTTCCCGAAAAGATAAAATGAGACAATCTTAGCGGGACTGAGGGAGTAATAGCTAACATGCAACAAAGTACATAAAAATGTGTATAAGAAGCGCCTCTCAAAAGACAAAAAACACTCAACTGGCTTTCACCATTCGCCAGCAAGATTTACCCTCTGCGGTCCGGTGATGAGATTGAAAAAAACTAGTCGTTAGATGTGGTAACGTCTACTAAATTTGAAACTTCTAAAAGTTGCTAAAACAGTTCCTTTTCCCATTTCCACCTCCCTCGCTCAATCAATCAAGAAAAAGATTCAAGTTCTCTAAATTCCTACATTTTTCGAACTCCAATTTTAGGGCTTCTGATAGAAACTTCTTATGCAAACACCTTGAATCCCGCATAGCCATTTTCTCTGCTGTCACATTCCCATATCCTACATTGCAAGCTGCCTTGAGATAATACACACAGCTCGTAGCTCCTCTGTTCAGTTGAATTTCGAAGAAGTATTTGCAAAAAGTTGCAGTTTTAGGAGCCAATGGCACCTACTCCGTCCAAATCGAATCAGGCTCATTTCGGAAATTCGAAAACACCTCAATCCAAACACCGACTCAACTTGTGTAGGCCATCACCGAACCCCAACGCGGCAGCTGCGAAAGAAGCTCTTCCAGCCGAGCATCCGGTGGAAGTCGTTGGGCGGATCCGCGACTATCCAGATCGCAAAGATAAGCCTCAACCGGCCGTGAAGCTGAATGGAGACAGTCAGTCATTGAGGGTTAAAACTGAAATAGGGTACAGAGACTTTCAACTTGATGGAGTTTCGTTGTCAGAAGAAGAAGATCTCGATGTTTTTTACAAGAAATTCGTTCAGGCAAGGATAAACGGGGTGAAATTGGGGTCTAACTGTACTATTATGATGTATGGCCCTACAGGTTCCGGTAAGAGTCACACCATGTTTGGTAGCTCCAAGCAGCCTGGAATTGTGTACCGATCATTGAAGGATATATTGGGAGAAGGGGATGAAGAGAGTGCAGAGAATCGTGTGATTGAGAGAGCAGGGACTTTCGTTCAGGTCACTGTCTTGGAAATATATAATGAGGAGATTTATGATCTCTTGGCCACTAATAATGGTGGAGGATTTGGCTTTGGATGGCCTAAAGGCAATGCTTCCAAGGTATGAACGCCTGAACGGATAATTCTTGTATTTTATGGTATTTCATTTTTTTCTTAATTATACTCCTACTAGATATTGGCCTGGTTATCTTCTAATAGGTAGTGCTTCGAAGTATTACAAGTGAATTTGAAATGAACTTGTACTGTATGGTCTAGCTTGTGTGAGAAATTGAAATGAGCTGGTACTGTTAAATCTAGATTGTGTGAGAAATTTGAAATGAACTGATACTGTAAAATCTGTGTATATAGTAAACTGATGCAATAATCAGATAATAATGATACCATTTTTACTTTTTTCTGAGCTTTTTTTGCATGGTCCAAGCCTATTTTGTAAGGTAAATACTGCTAATTCTACCAGGGAATAATAATGGTTGGCTGACTTTTATTAAACTTTTAACTAGAGGTGCAGATTATTGCATATGAGTCATGCGCTGTTGTAATTGTTCTCTGAAACATAAAATGATCATTTGCTTTACTTTGTGCTAGAATTAGGATTGGAAAATTATGGTACATTGTTCTTAGGACAAGAATGTCTGCAGTAAAAAACCCATCTGCTTTATAAATGACATTGTTCTTAGGACAAGAATGTCTGCAGTAAAAAATCCCATCTGCTTTATAAATGACATTCCAACTTAAAAGCACAAGGTATTAATGAGAGAGAGAAATATGTGCTTCTGTCAGTCTGATCTTGGTAAATGCTATGTTTAGCACAATTACAATTCTTTTGCTCTACGTTTACTTGGATTTGTTTAAATATAGTGTGGGTTGTCTATATATATGCATTAGCAGGTAAGGTTGGAAATCATGGGGAAAAAGGCTAAAAATGCAACTTTTATTTCCGGAAATCGAGCAGGGAAGATATCAAAAGAGATCCAGAATGTAGAAAAGAGAAGGATTGTTAAGAGCACTCTATGTAATGAGAGAAGTTCACGAAGCCATTGCATGGTAATGTCTATAATTACTTAGTACACAAGTCTTTCAGGTTCTCATTTTCTTTCTTTGTTCCCCCTTTTCAGATAATTCTTGATGTTCCAATAGTTGGAGGACGGCTTATGCTAGTTGACATGGCAGGTTCTGAAAATATAGAACAAGCTGGTCAAACTGGTTTTGAAGCCAAAATGCAGGTAGATGTGCTATATTGCTAACAATATGGTCCAACTTAAGCATTGATTTTATGCTATATATGTGTGTGTCTATTTCTCTCTCTCTCTCTATATATATATATATACACATATATGACAAAGAACTTTCTGTAATAAATAGGAGTAAAACACGAGTAATGTGCAGAAATATGAGTGATCTTATTTTATCCTGAAAAAGGGACCCATTCTGTTCTTAAGAAAAAAAAAATAGTTAAAACTTCTTCTAGGTGTAAGTGAGTCCTGCTTTCAAGAGAAAAAAAATGGTAGTCCAATAATTCTATTTGTAGAAATGTGTTACTCCGTATGTTTTAGCCTTATTCATGAAAACCCTTGAGCTACTAGTGGGCATTTTTTTAAAATTGTTTTGACTGTGTTAGCTGACTCTAAATGCAGACTGGTAAGATAAATCAGGGGAATATTGCACTGAAGAGGGTTGTTGAATCCATTGCTAATGGAGACTCTCATGTGCCATTTAGAGACAGCAAGTTGACCATGCTTTTACAGGTATATACTTCGTATAACCTTCTGCTGCAACTAAGTTGACATTCTGATTTATCCCCATCTCACCCCTTCTCTTATACTGGTTCTTTCGTTTTTCTACAGGACTCATTTGAAGATGACAAGTCAAAAATTTTAATGATTTTGTGTGCCAGCCCAGATCCAAAGGAGCTGCACA